TCGGAAGAATCGTATCCGATTACTCCGATCATTGGATGATCGGAATAACTCGGATTCAGATTACTCCCGATCATCCAATGATCGAGTAATCGCGGACCCGATTCCTCCGATCATTGGATGATCGGAATAATCGGATCCGATTACTCCGATCATTGGATGATCGGAATAATCGGACCCGATTACTCCGATCATTGGATGATCGGAATAATCGGATCCGGTTACTCCGATCATTCAATGATCGGAATAATCGGATCCGATTATTCCGATCATACACATGGGCTTGTGCTCTACTGCGGTTGCATGATCGGAACAATCGATTACGATTACTCCGATCATTCAATGATCGGAATAATCGGATCCGATTACTCCGACCATCCAATGATCGGAATAATCGGATCCGGTTACTCCGATCATTGGATGATCGGAATAATCGGATCCGATTACTCCGATCATTGGATGATCGGAATAATCGGATCCGATTCTTCCGATCATTGAATGATCGGAGTAATCGGATCCGATTATTCCGATCATTGAATGATCGGAGTAATCGGATCCGATTATTCCGATCAACAACAACAACGCTCCGGCTCGAGACTTCCTCTTTTTTTACTCGGGATCGGTGCTCTTGCTCGCCGCCGAGAGCGGCTCCCGGGCCGGACGCCCGGGTCGGCGCCCGAGCCGGCGCCCGGGCGCCGGAAAATCGAGTTCCGAGGCGGCGCCGAAAAAACGCCATTCCAATACACATTTTTCTTTCGAAAATGCTGAATTTCTGCTTCCGGCGCCCGGGAAGCCGTCCGGGCCGATTCCGGAGCTCGGGCCGGCACCCGGCCCGGCTCCCGGGGCCCGGGTCGGCGCCCGAGCCGGCGCCCGGCGCCGGAAAATCGAGTTCCGAGGCGGCGCCGAAAAGAGGCCATTCCAATACACATTTTTCTTTTGAAAATGCTGAATTTCTTCTTCCGGCGCCCGGGAGCCGTCCGGGCCGATTCCGGAGCTCGGGCCAGCACCCGGCCCGGCTCCCGGGCCGGACGCCCGGGTCGGCGCCCGAGCCGGCGCCCGGGCGCCGGAAAATCGAGTTCCGAGGCGGCGCCGAAAAAAGGCCATTCCAATACACATTTTTCTTTTGAAAATGCTAAATTTCTGCTTCTGGCGCCCGGGAGGCCGTCCGGGCCGATTCCGGAGCTCGGGCCGGCACCCGGCCGATCATCGGAGTAATCGGATCCGATTATTCCGATCATTGAATGATCGGAGTAATCAGATCCGATTATTCCGATCATTGAATGATCGGAGTAATCGGATCCGATTATTCCGATCATCCGATCATGATCGGAATAATCCGATCATTGGATGATCGGAATAATCGGATCCGATTTCCGATCATCCGAATCGGATTGGATGATCGGATTATCCGATCATTGGATGATCGGATAATCGGATCCGATTACTCCGATCATTGGATGATCGGAATAATCGGATCCGATTACGATCATGGATGATCGGAATAATCGATCCGATTACTCCGATCATTGGATGATCGGAATAATCGGATCGGAATAATCGGATTTACTCCGATCATTGGATGATCGGAATAATCGGATCCGATTACTCGATCGGAATAATTTGATCATTGGATGATCGGAATAATCGGATCCGATTACTCCGATCATTGGATGATCGGATAATCGGATCCGATTACTCCGATCATTCAATGATCGGAATAATCGGATCCGATTACTCCGATCATTGGATGATCGGAATAATCGGATCCGATTACTCCGAGCATTCAATGATCGGAATAATCGGATCCGATTACTCCGATCATTGGATGATCGGAATAATCGGATCCGATTACTCCGATCATTCAATGATCGGAATAATCGGATCCGATTATTCCGATCATACACATGGGCTTGTGCTCTACTGCGGTTGCATGATCGGAATAATCGATTACGATTACTCCGATCATTCAATGATCGGAATAATCGGATCCGATTACTCCGACCATCCAATGATCGGAATAATCGGATCCGATTATTCCGATCATACCGGCGCCAGCGAGCGTCGCTAATAACAACAACAACAACAACAATAACAACGACAACAACAACAATAACAACAACAACAACACCAACAACCAACAACAACAACAACAACAACACCACCACCACCAACAACAACAACAACCATAACAACAACGACAACAACAACAACAGCAGCAGCAGCATCAGCAACACCAACAACAGCAGCAGCAACAACAACAACAACAACAACATCAACGACAACGACAACAACAACAACAGCAACAACAACACCACCACCACCACCAACAACAACAACAGCCACAACAACAACCACAACAACAACAACGACGACAACAGCAACAACAACAACAACTACAACAACAACACCACCAGCAACAACAACAACAACAACACCGCCACCACCACCAACAACAATAATAACAACAACATCAACAACAACACTGCCAACAACGACGACAACGATGACAAACGACAACAACAACAGCAACAGTAACAGCAACAACTGCTCGCACCCAGCACCTCGAGCCTGCCGAACCCCCTCCTGCTGGCCAGGGCCAGTGGTGGGCAACTTCACACCCCCAGCCGGCTCCAAGATCCGAAATTGCACCCGCCACACAGCGACACGGCGAGCAACAGACAGACAACGTGCGATCTGCTGCGCGCGTCGAACACGGCGACGCTCGCAAGACTCTAGGCCTCCTAGATGTGGTCCGAGTAGACGGGGTCGGAGGATCGCGCCGCATCGCAGATGCATCGGCTATGCGGCTCAATGCGGAGCCGGATGTTCGCCATGCCGACGGGTCGCCGATGCATCGCCGATGCATCGCCGATGTATCGGCGATGCGGCGCGATCCTCCGACACCATCTGCTCCGACCCCATCTAGGAGGCCTCTAGTGACCCCCCCGTGTCGGGGAGACCTGAGCTTTCCTCGCCCGGCCACGCTCGGTGAGCAGACGAGAAGCTAGTCGGACCACCAGCAGACCACGGCGACCACGGACGAAGGCAGGGGGGCGAAGCGAAGCGAGGCGCCGACAGACGTCCAGAAGGACAGCCCTACAAGAGAGCACGGCGGTTGGCCCGGAGCCCAAGACGCAGCTTGGATCCGCGTGTCATCTTCCTGAGCGTGAACGATCGCGGAGGAGGAGAGAGAGCGACGACGAAGAGCGGCGACGACGATGACGAAGGGCCACGTCGACGAAGAAGGCGGGCGACGACGACGACGACGACGACGACGACGACGACGACGACGACGACGGGGGGAGGAGGAGGAGTCCCCAGCCGAGCTCTGTTGGGCCCCCCCCCCCGCGCCTGGGCTTTCAGCTCCCTGGCGCGCTCGGGGTCCACGTCGCCGTGGTCCTCGCGGCGAGAGGCCCCCCCGTCCCTGGACGCCCCCCCGTCGGCTCCCTCGGCCCGGCCCACCGCCGTGCAGCAGCAGGAGGAGGAGGAGGAGGAGGAGGAGGAGGAGGAGGACGAGGAGGAGGAGGAGGAGGAGGAGGCAGGCCGAGACGACGGCGCGGCCCTTCCGCCTGGCCAAACTCCGTGCAGAATCGGCCCTTTTCTGAGCATCGCTTCACCGATCCCCATTCCCCACAAGCGTGGGCTGGGCTCCACTGGCCGATTTACGCCCGGAGATGGGAATGTAGGCAGCTCCCTTCTCGGTTTCGAGGGGCATATCCCCCACAGGTCAGATGACGTCACCCTAGCTACTCTGGGTCACTTAATAAGCGTGGGGGGGTACCCCCCCGATGGGGGGGCGTCAACCTCGCCTCGTCGTCGCGCCGCGACCGGGGTCGGAGCGCCGTCGGCGCGCTGTGGCTGCCCGCGACGGGGGTCGACGTGGGGCTGTCGGCGGGGGTGACGCTCCCCCAGCGCTTGTTAAGAAACCCGGAGTACCCATCGGTCGGATGAAGTAGGTAGAAACATGAAGTAGGAAGGCGCTGGCAACACATTGGGTTCCGTCCGCCCCCTGAGGGGGACGGAAAAAGGGAAGTCCCTCTCTATCACTGAGGTAGGGAGGCGCTTACAGCAGATTGGAATCTGGGATTCCGCAAATACCTACTTTCAGCGACCGATGGGTAACGAGATGGTGAGCATCCCTCCGACGCACACACATGAGAAGCTCTGGTTGTCCACGGGCGGCTTCTTCCCTGGCGCGCGATGCAAGGGCGCTTAGGGGGCCAAGGCATCTCCAAGGAGCCTGTCCCCCTCGAAAGTTGCCCCTGAGAGCTGGAGACCAGCGCCGCAGGCGCCGCCTGGGGACGCGGGAGGGGGGGGGGGAAGGAGGCCTCTGCGCAGGACGGAAGGCCGTGAGGTGGGAGGCCAGAGTCTCCCGAGCTGGACGCGGCCTGAAGGCACCCGAGCTGTGCTGCAGAGGAGGGGGAGGCACGTCCCGTCCATGAAAACCACGTGGGGGCTCTAGATCGCCATGCGCCCAGACTCCAACAGCAAACATCCAATCCCATGGAACCCGTGTCCTGTTCATTGGCCGCGAGAGCGCCCGTGACCGACCCCGCACACCCCCCACCCCCCCCACCCCTGCCACGTCACGATGCGCGCTGTCGCCGCGGGACTTCGCCATCCCCAGACGTTCCCAGACGGCGGCGGCAAGGATCGTGGACGTGACCGGCACTCGCCCTCCCCCTCCCCCCCCCCCTGGCCACGCCCGTGATCGCCAGCTCCTCAGGTCGATACATCTGGGGCTGCAGGGCAGCGCAGGGCTCCCCTGTGGCCGGCCTGCCTGTGCCCCCTGCGGCTGCGCCGCGGGCGCAGCCGCGGCGGACATGGATGTGCATTCGCCCCCGAACAAAATCCAGATCCACAGCCTGCCAGAGGTCCCCCAAGATCGATCCCCCAAGCGGTGGTTAGAGGCCTCCTGGATGGGGTCGGAGTAGGAGGGGTCGGAGGATCGCGCTGTATCGCTGAAACATCGGCGGTGCATCGGCGATACGTCGGCGATACGTCGGCGATGCACCGGCGATGCACCGGCGAGGCAACGTCGACATCGGCGACGCATCCGCGACGTCGGCGTAGGGAAAATCGGGCTCCGCATCGAACCGCATCGTCGATGCATCGGCGATGCGGCGCGATCCTCCGACCCCGTCTACTCCGACCCCGTCTAGGAGGCCTGGAGCGGTGATCCACCAGTCCCCGCCTCCGAACCGCTACTGCCGGTGGGGCTCGCTGGGGCACGTCCGCCCCAACCCGAGCCCAGACGCAGGCCCGTCCTGGGCCAAGCCGTGGCGGGCATGCGGTCCCCACCGGCCCTGCACCGAGGTCGGGGGCGTTCAAAGAGGGGGGCGCTGAAGAGGGGTGTGTGCAAACCATGGCCCGCGGCATGTGCGCGGACGAGGGGAGACCAGGCGACGTGCTGGAACAAGACGAGGCACCATGAAATCTGGGGAGATATCATGGCCTCTGCCATGAGATCCACTCCCCCTAGTCATCCCCCCCCTCTTGGCCGCCCCCGACGTGGGCTGGATGGTCCACTGAGGTTGGCACGGCCGGGACCTATGACGAAAACTCGGCGGTGGTGACTGCTTCGTGGCTTCTCCCTTTATGACACCGCGACTGGCGTTTCTCTACAGGTGCGCAGCATGGTGGACGCCGCTCTCCCCGGATTCTGCACCAGCGGGGCGCCGCCTCCACCGCACAACGCTACTTCTTACGCACAAGAGCTCAACAATTGTTTTTTCGGGGATGGACAGACCTCCCTTTAGTAAAACGTGGTTTAGTGAAAACGACCTGAGGCCCAAACCTGGCGGGCGCAAGCCTGGAAAATAACGGCCACGGCGCCCTCTCGAGAACCGAAAACGGACAATTCACTAATCGACGTGTCACTGTTGGGGGTTCTCTCCACCCCCGATTTTTACGCACAAGAGTTCAACAATTGGTTTTCTCCATCTGTACAGCCCGATCACAGACAGAAAAAACATCCTTCGAGAGCATGGGAGCCTCCGCCGGCCGAAACGGAGCGGAGAGCATATAAGGGCACCCTCCCCCAGGATGCTAACAGAAACCCAACAGACACGAAACAGATTATTACGGTACCCTCGCCGAGCCAATCTCGACCTTATGTTTCGGTCCGAGTGTACTTTGCTCGGTCGGAGCGGTTTGGTTGTCCACGGTGGCGTTCCCGCTGCAGCGGTAGCCTAATTTCAAGATCGGCGCCTTGCCGGGGCCGTTCAGAATGGCGTTTTCTCGCCCCAGCGCGGGCCGCATTCCTGGGCCCGACTCATTCTTCGCCGTTGTCGCCCCTTGCGTTCCCCCCCTCCGCCTCCTTCTCTCCGTGACCCTCTTCTTCCTCCTGCCCCTCGGCGCCCGCGAGCAGACAAAGATGGCCGCCGCGGCTGCGGCGGCAGCCGACGGAGGCGGCGGCGCCTCCTCGCCCGCGGAACTGCCGCCCGACGACGCGCCGCCAGAGGACTGGGCGCCCTCCTCGCCCAGGGGCGCCCGCCGGAGCTCCTCGGCGGCGGCGGCCGGTCGAGTCTGTAAAGAATCGGGACGGCGCATCGAAGCAAGTCGTCGTCGTCGTCGCCAACGTCGTCGTTGTCGTCGTCGGCGGCGGCGGTGGAGGCGGCGGCGTCGGCGGCAGCGTCGTCTTCGTCGTCGTACAACGCGCGCTCTGGATCAGCTTTACACAGAATCTCCAGCGCCAGATCGATAAATTTACGAGGGCCCCCGGCGGGGGAGCACAGAGGACCTGATGGCGCTGGCGTAAGATGTGGTACGTATGGCGTCGTACCCGTTCTCCGTATCCGTACACGTCGGTCGGAAGACGTAGGTACAAACATGAAGTAGGAAGGCGGATTAAGTTGATTGGGTCCAGGCCACCCCAAGGAATAGCAAAACACAGCAAAACCGTGTCGATTCTTGAAGTAGGAAGGCGCTTGGAGTAGATTGGGATCAGGGAATCCAGAGATGCCTACTTTCCGCGCGGGCTCTTCGGTGACATAGTTGCCCTCATACCCTGTCGGTGCTGCAGTGCCCGAAGCCTGCGGGATGGGGTCTTTGCTGACATGTGCCATGCCAGTATGACCAAAGCCCTCAGAGCCGCGGGAGGATAGAGGAGGGTTGGTGACGACCAAAATATCGGAGTCCGCGATGGTGCGCTCCAGGATGAATTGGGCGATCCTATGGCCTTTCTCGACCACGATCGTCCGCGGGCTGGTGTTGTGCATGGTCACCTCCTCCTCCTCCTCCTCCTCCTCCTCTCCTCCTCCTCCTCCTCCTCTCCTCCTCCCTCCTCCTCCTCCTCCTCCTCCTCCTCCCTCCTCCTCCTCCTTCTCCTCCTCCTCCTCCTCCTCCTCCTCCTCCTCCTCCTCCTCCTCCTCCTCCTCCTCGAGTTCGATCTTCTTCCTACTCCGCCCACGACGTCGATGCCCTGGAGGGTCAGTCGCAAGCGCAGCAATCCGTTGGTAAGTGCCCGGCGGTGCAAGAGTGGCCACGGCCGTAAACACCAGTTCGCGACCACAGTTCGCGACACTGGCGTCCGCGCAGCGAATAGGTCGTAGCATGCTTCCTGAGGTGTGCGCCCCATGGTGCATGTGCGCCGTGGCCTAGACGCGACAGTTTGAGAACATTGCATTCGCGGGCGTGGTTGGTGTCATCGTCCTCGTGGCTGTTGCCCCTGCTAGTAGCGTGTGCTGCGAGGGTGGTAGTCCCCCAGTCGGCAGCTGGAGTTTGCCAAAGTTGTCGACTGGTACGCATGCGTGGCCACTCGGAGCTGACTCTAGGTCGAAGTGCATGGTGCCTGGGCCCCAATGGATTTCGTAGCCTCCATGACCATGAAACATGAGGCGCTTACGTCATGCGCCTTTCTCCACGAACCCGCTGTTGGACTGCATAGACTGCAGATCGACAAAGGCCGGGAGGTCGAAGCCATCGCCTCCACTGCAGGAGCACGCATGCTGCGCTGAGTGTTCACGCCATCGCGGGTGGCAGCCGCAACGAGGTAGTGTGCCTCCCGATGGGGAACCTGCGAGCCGTTGCCCACTCCTGCTACGTAGCACGGAAACGTCAGACTCTCCTCCGCGGGCTGGAGCCTCGCCTTCATAGCTTTGTCGGCCAGGTTCATCACGAAGCGCAGCCCCAAGAGGTAGGTCCAGCGCCAATGACGCCAAATCGGCCGCCGAGGAATTCGGCGCCCGCCGCGCAAGTGCGTCGGTCGATGGGTCGGGCCTGTACCAGATGAGGTTGGCCACCGCGGGGAACGTCGGTCGGCACGGCGGAGCATGCTGGTCGGTGTTCTGCATGGGTTGTAACTGGCGGGCCCGGTGCAAGATGTGGCGGCACCGCAGGCGTGCAACTCGATCACTATGTGCGAACGCCCCGATGCACAAAGGACATTGCCGGTGGTCGCCGTTGAAGGCCGCGACGTGGGGTGCAGCCAGTGCGGCAAGCGGCGCAGGTGGATTAGCGGAGATTTCTGTCCAACTCTGTGCGGCTCGTCGTCGCTGTTCATCCTGTTGCCGTAAGAGCTCAAGTGCAAGCCGGGTGCTGTGGAGCTCGTCGAGGTGTCGTTGCTGTGCGCGGTCGAGTGTGGAGCCTACTCCACTTTCGGATCGCACGCCGCTAGAACCACATAGCGGCCAGCGAATCACATAGCCACTCTCCCAGATGGCTGCCTCACGTCAATGGGGACGTGCTGGTTGAAAAGTGCCATATCGCTGGGAGACTCTGGCAGCGGTGGTGACACGGCTGTCGGCGCGGACTGCGGTGGCCACGTGGAGCTCGATCCATGAGGTGCGCTGATGACGAGTGCTGAGACTGATGGCGTATAGGCCCACCTCGGCGACTGCACATCGGCAGGTGGGGCAGCTGGCGCCGCGACTCGGGCATTGACCTCGCTGGCCCAGTCGCGCCCTGTGGCCCCAGCTCGGAAGCACCAGCCACGCCGGCCCAGCGCTGTGGTATCAGTCCTGATGGTGCTGCCGATGCTGCTAGAACTGCAGCTGCTGTACAATAGCAATGGAAAAAGAATAACCATCACGAGAGGCAACGGCAGGGCAAAGCGATGAGCTGACGTTCCGACTCGGAGGAGGAGGAGGAGGGGGAGGAAGAGGATGGGGGGAGGAGGAGGCTCTCCGTTGTGTCGTGTTGTTCTTTCCCTTCCTTCCCCCCTCCTACCACACCGTATCCTGCTCATACCACGCCCACAACTCCGGAGTCGAAGGTCACTGGCTGTGGGGGGGGGGGGGAACTGGCAGCGGTTGTGTGGCAAACTCCGTTGCCATCAGCGTCCAAAGTCCAGGAGGGGGACCCAAAATCCGTCGTCGTCCTCGTCGTCGGCATGCCGTCGCCGTCGTCGGGGGTCGTTGTCGGGGGTCGGTCAATCGTCGTCATCGTCGTAGTCGTCGCCGACCGTCGTCGTAGTCGTTGCCGTGGTCATCGTCGCCCGCCGTCGGCCGCCGCCGACGTCGTGGCCGGTCGTCCGTCGTCGTCGGGGGCCGTCGTGGATCGTCTAAGTTACAGATTCGTCACCATCGTCGATCGTCGTTTTTGCCGTGTCCACATCGTCACCGTTGTATGAGCAAGCGACGAACTGTATAAACTGAACTGTTCCGCGAACGGGGACGCCTATCCCAGGGCGGCTGGTAAATTCACGCCCCTACCTGCCACCGCGGGGGGACTTCCCTTCGCCACGGGACAGGCATCCTCGATCGCATAGCAATTTATGTTATTCCGTTCGCTTCCCGCTTATACGACGGCCGCTGCCGACGTCGTCGCCACCGGTCGTCGCTAGTCGACCACGTCGTCGTCGTCGTCGTCGTGGTCGTCGTCGGTCGTTGTTATCCTCGGGGAGCGAAATCATTGTCATTCTTTGTCGTCGGGGATCGTCAGGGGAGGAGGGGGGGCGAGAGGAGGCAGTAGAAAGAAGAGGGGACGAGGGGCACGCAGGCGGGGGGGGAGAGGAAGACGAGGGATGACGAGGGTGAGGAAGAGCTTGCGGTAAAGGCGGGCTGGACGGAAGAGGGGGGGGATCGGGATGCGGACAGCACCAGAGACTCCGTCAGCTGGCAGGTATGCATACAAGGACGAATTGCAAGACCTCATCTTGATGCGGGAGTGGCAGTGTTGATTGCCCTGGGCTGGACGCAACGTTCATGAACGGCCTCGTGCTCCGCTCGGCGATCGCTGTTTTGAGCCATCCGCGGCAGTCCGGTTCCGACGGCCCTGCGCTGAGCGCCAGGCAAAGAAAAAGGGCGGCGGCAACGATCGAGGAACAAGAACCTCCCGTGCCCTACAGGCAGCTCTACCTGCGGTCTCAGTGGCCGCGCCTGCATGGCGTACGCGCCGCATGGCGAGGGAATCTCATCAGCCCTGTGGGCGTCGGTGTTCTGACGAGGTCGTGCTTCCCCTTTCCAGAACCCCTCTTCCCTTCGGGGAGGGGCACACTCATCCTCCCCTCTCTGAGGTTCTTGTTGGGGGGCCTCCGATGCTCCAAGAAGGCATCCATGATGGTTCGAGACAGCTGACGCTGGTTCAGGACAGGGCTGGACCTGAACGTTGTTTTTCCTATTGTGTTCGTTTTGATGTTCGGTGTGATCACTGTTTTCCTGTAACGCCATGCCGAAACGAAAACCAAAAACACAGCCGAGGTCCAGCAAAACAGCGTTTTGGTCCAGCCCTGGTACAAGTCAACTCTCGTCGTTGTCCATGTCCTCCTCCTCCTCCTCTTCCTCCTCCTCCTCCTCCTCCTCCTCCTCCTCCTCCTCCTCCTCCTCCTCCCCCTCCTCATATTCAACCTCAGTTCACCAAAAATTGCCCGCTCTGATTCAGTATATGTGCCTTTTTTTCCCACCATTTCCCATCAACACTCATGGGCACCGTTTCTGAATGTGCTGTTGGGGGTATTTTTTTGGTCGCGGCCGCGAGACAAGGGTCAGGCGGCGAAAGCAAAGTCCGGGGCGCGAGCGGGGCTAATTAGCTACAACAGGCACAGGCCGGCCGGCCCACTCACAAAGCAGCCGCGAAGCTGAAGGGGAGCTGACGGCGGGGGGCATCCTGAGAGCTCGAGCGCGCGCACAGGACAACGTGTCATGGAATTCGGTGCCTGCCGTGGCACGACCCACGCAGTAAGAGACATGGACCAGGATGACCAAATCCGTCGTTCTGAGTGGGGGCAAGTGGGAGGCCTGTGGAGCGAGTCGCCGGTGGGGCGCCAGGCTCCAAACGCCATTGACGACGTGAGCTAGCCAGGAAGGCTGAGCTGTCGCGAACCGTGGTGCAACGCAACTGGGGAAAACTGATGGGTTGTTAGGGATATGTGTTTTTGATCGGCGGCTCCAAGGACGGCTCCAGGGAGCGGGTCAATCTCGACTGGGGCGCAATGCGAGACGATTGGCAACGAAGGCACATAGGCCAACGCCGCAATGCACGTGCGAGGGACAAAATGAACCTCATTAAAAGCCGACGCGGGGACGGAAAACGGCAGCAGACTGGAAAAGCCGGCGGTTGGTCGCACTGAGGCGCCAGCCCCCGCAGACCAAGCCAGCGAGAAAAACGGGAACGCCGCGCGGGCAGCACAGAGCCCGAGGAACGGCACCGCCAAACGCGGCGAGGAGGGGCAGAAGGGGAGACAGAGGCGCAGGAGGCGACGAGGGGAGGGGGAAGGAAGGAAACCTCACTCACAGAGCACCTGGGGTGCTCGTGGACAGGTGCGCCGAACCTTGACAGGAGTCGGCAGCCTTGTCGTCAGAGTCCCAGCCTGCAACTTCCTTGCCGCTGTGGATGGGGGGAAAGGCTGCGTGGTACCACCGCTGCACCACCCAGCGGGAGGTCTGCGGACCTGCCACTAAACTCTGCTGGGGATACGCGACGCGTGAAGATTTGCAGAAACGGTAGCCAGAGCACCGTGCTCATGTGGACATGACTGGCGACTGCAAAAAAACAACATGAAACCTCGACCCAAGAAAACGGAGGAAGCAATCAGACTGCTACGGCTAAGGGCCGTAACGGAGAGAATGTAACATATCTGCAATGTGCGAGAACGGCGACAGCAGATAAGGGGGAAGTCCCGAGAGGAGAGAGGGTCCACAACGAGGATGGACACCAAGAAAATGCCAAGGTGAAGTTCGCTCGCCCATTGAGGGTTCTCACGTGTGACATGTAGGGAAACGAACTCTATACACAGACGCTTTTCCCGACCCTGCGCTCAAATTCGCACAGGAACGCGGATTCTGGTATATACGGGATCCTGGTGTATACAGTTGCCGTTGCTTTCCCGGGACATCGGGGAAAAAAATATACACCACACCACCCCGACGCCGTCCCCAACCCTCAAAAATGTCCTGGGATTGAGAAACCGCCCGCCACTGGTAATGTATACGTTCCAATTTCCGAACATGGTTGTCGATACTGAAACCCTTACATCCGCGAGCCCGGCCCAGCTCCGTGGAACGGGGGTCCCGTCAATGGTGGCGGTGACTGGGGGGGCCATCTGCTCCAGAACTGCGCTCAAACCCGCCACCAAACTGCCTAAGGGCTACCAGATAGCTTCTGATAACGGCGCGATATGGTCAGGTTTCGCTTGTGCTGTCCTGCGGCCTCCCGAGACGACTCGAGGAAGGCAAACGGCTTTTCAAGAGCTCCCCCAGTCTAAACATCTTCGGAGCTGTGTTTTCGACGTGCTGACCCAGAGGTCCCGACCCCTTTCCTGGTATCAACCTCTCGCCCCAGGACAATAGTTGGTTGCCCCGGGGCCCAAGAACTGACCTCAGAGGCCCAAATCCACGAGAAACGCCTGTTCTTATCTTGAGCGCGCTCAGGCGTCTCAAGGTCGCCACAAGACGGGGCAACTGGGCCACAAGCGAACCCGCAACGGGCCCGAATGCGGCCCGAAAGAGGGCCCCAGCGCCCCAGAGGGGGGGCCCAAAGACGGCCCAAGATCCCAAGACGGCCCAAGAGAAGTGCCCCGAAAGAACTCAAGACGGCCCACGAGGCCCCCGAGACGGCCCCAGAACGGTTCCCAGAAGCCCCCGGGACGACTCGGAGATGATCCCAGGAGACAAAGGGCTTCGGCACAGCAGCCCCAAGGGAGCCACACGACACGCCATGAGAAATCGCCACGGCAGTCCCGAGGAGGTCCTGGGAAGGCCCCCCCCCCCCCCACGCAACGGGCTCACACATGATAGGGGGTCCACAAGACAAGGCCCCTCACGAGAGGCTCCCACACGGACCGAGGAGGAGGAGGAGGAGGAGGAGGAGGAGGAGGAGGAGGAGGAGGAGGAGGAGGAGGAGGACCTTCGACCAGAGGTGAGCGTTTTCTCACTCGGCGTTTCGACACTGAGCGAAGAGGAGGGGGATGGGGGCGGGGTCCGGCTCCGTACCTCTCCTCTGTGCTTAGTGCGACTGCTTACGACAGAGCGCCCTGTGGGGAGACTCCACCTGCTCGAACCAGGCGCCAGCAACAGCCAAGATCTACTCCATGCAGGGGGGGAGAGGGGGGGTGCGAGGGCCCGCGCCGATCGGCTAAACAGTTAATAAACAACGATCACGAGGGGGGAAACCTTTCGATAGGGGCACACGCGACTGGGGCTCGCGCGATTGGGGGGCCAAGCGAGGCGCCCCGCACGACACAACGCGGCTCCACACAGGAGACCCCCCCCCCCTCGATAGGGGCACGCGGGAGGATATGTCACGATTGGATTCCACGCGTCGGCATGTGCAGCATACCTGTCAACCCCACCAGCCCTTCAGAGCGTCAGTGGTGCGCAGAGCTCGTGCTGCCAACCCCTTCCTCAAGGGCTCCCAGCTTCGCGCTTCGCGCTGCGCGAAGCGCGAATAACGTCGCGCTCTCGCGCCACCTCTCAAGGGAGAAGAGGAGGAGGAATCGGAGCCGAACCGCGAGGCGCGAATAACTTCGCGCCCTCGGGAACGCCCCTTTGTTTCTCACCCTTCGGGGAAGGGGCTCCACTCCCCCCTTGTACCCCCTCCCGCTGGGTCTGCAGGAAGCGCCCCGCGAGGCGTCCGAGGGTCCTTGTTTGGCCCAGGACGGCTCCAGTAAGGCTCTGCACAGCACGAGGTGGCATCCAGGATCGCTCACGACTGCCCAAGGATGGCTCGCCCTACTACGAGCCTCCCAGGGAGGCCGCCTATAGCTAGCATCTGTCAAAACCTGTGTGTGCGTGTGCGTGCGTGCATGCCTGCGCGCGCGTGTGTGTGTATGTGTGTGTATATATATATATGTGTGTGTGTGTGTGTGTCTGTGTGTGTATGTGTGTGTGTGTGTGTGTGTGTGTCTGTGTGTGTGTCTGTGTGTGTGTCTGTGTGTGTGCCTGTGTGTGTCTGTGTGCGCGCCTGTGCTGTGTGTGTGTGTCTGTGCTGTGTGTGTGTGTCTGTGCTGTGTGTGTGTGTCTGTGCTGTGTGTCTGTGCTGTGTGTGTGTCTGTGCTGTGTGTGTCTGTGCTGTGTGTGTGTCTGTGCTGTGTGTGTGTGTGTCTGTGCTGTGTGTGTGTCTGTGCTGTGTGTGCTGTGTGTGTCTGTGCTGTGTGTGTGTGTCTGTGCTGTGTCTGTGTGTGTGCTGTGTGTGTCTGTGCCTGTGTGCCTGTGTCTGTGTGGCTGTGTCTGTGTCTGTGTCTGTGTGCCTGTCTCTGTGTGTCTGTGTCTGTGTGTCTGTGTCTGTGTGTCTGTGTGTGTGTCTGTGTGTGTGTCTGTGTGGGTGTGTCTGTGTGTGTGGGTGTGTCTGTGTGTGTGTCTGTGTGTGTCTGTGTGTGTCTGTGTGTGTCTGTCTGTGTGTGTGTCTGTGGGTGTGTCTGTGTTGTGTGTGTGTCTGTGCTGTGTGTGTGTCTGTGCTGTGTGTGTCTGTGCTGTGTGTGTGTCTGTGCTGTGTGTGTGTCTGTGCTGTGTGTGTGTCTGAGCTGTGTGTGTGTCTGTGATGTGTGTGTGTGTGTGTCTGTGCTGTGTGTGTGTGTCTGTGCTGTGTGTGTGTCTCTGCTGTGTGTGTGTCTGTGCTGTGTGTGTGTGTGTCTGTGCTGTGTGTGTGTGTGTCTGTGCTGTGTGTGTGTCTGTGCTGTGTGTGCTGTGTGTGTCTGTGCTGTGTGTGTGTCTGTGCTGTGTCTGTGTCTGTGCTGTGTCTGTGCCTGTGTGCCTGTGTCTGTGTGGCTGTGTCTGTGTCTGTGTCTGTGTGCCTGTGTCTGTGTGTCTGTCTCTGTGTGTCTGTGTCTGTGTGTCTGTGTGTGTGTCTGTGTGTGTGTCTGTGTGGGTGTGTCTGTGTGTGTGGGTGTGTCTGTGTGTGTGTCTGTGTGTCTGTGTGTGCCTGTGTGTGTGTCTGTGTGTGTGTGTGGGTGTGTCTGTGTGTGTGTGTGTCTGTGTTTGTGTCTGTGTGCGTGCGTCTGTGTGTGTCTGTGTGTGTGTCTGTGTGTGTGTCTGTGTGTGTGTGTCTGTGTGTGTCTGTGTCGGTGTGTGTGTGTGTGTCTGTGTGTGTGTGTGTCTATGTGTGTGTCTGTGTGTGTGTCTGTGTGTGTCTCTGTGTGTCTGTGTGTGTGTGTGTCTGTGTGTGACTGTGTGTGTCTGTGTGTGTCTGTGTGAGTGTCTGTGTGTGTGTCTGTGTGTGTGTCTGTGTGTGTATCTGTGTGTGTGTGTCTGTGTGTGTCTGCGTGTGTGGTTATGTGTGTGTGTGTTTGTCTGTGTGTGTCTGTGTGTGTGTCTGTGTGTGTGTCTGTGTGTGTGTCTGTGTGTGTCTGTGTGTGTCTGTGTGTGTCTCTGTGTGTGTGTGTCTCTGTGTGTGTGTCTCTGTGTGTGTGTGTCTGTGTGTGTCTCTGTGTGTGTGTGTCTCTGTGTGTGTGTCTCTGTGTGTGTGCCTCTTTGTGTGTGTCTCTGTGTGTGTCTCGGTGTGTGTGTGTGTCTCTGTGTGTGTCTCTGTGTGTGTATGTGTCTCTGTGGGTGTGTGTCTCTGTCTCTGTGTGTGTGTCTCTGTGTGTGTGTCTGTGTGTGTGTCGCTGTGTGTGTGTCTCTGTGTGTGTGTCGCCGTGTGTGTGTTTCTCTGTGTGTGTGTCTCTGTGTGTGTGTGTCTCTGTGTGTGTGTCTGTGTGTGTGTGCCTCTGTGTGTGTGTGTGTGTCTCTGTGTGTGCGTGTCTCTGTGAGTTTCTCTGTGTGTCTCTGGGTGTGTGTGTGTGTCTCTGAGTGTGTGTCTCTGTGTGTGTGTGTCTCTGTGTGTGTCTGTGTGTGTGTCTCTGTGTGTGTGCCTGTGTGTGGGTGTCTGTGTGTGTGTCTGTCTGTGTGTGTCTGTGTGTGTGTGTCCGTGTGTGTGTCTGTGTGTGTCTGTCTGTGTGTGTGTGTCTGTCTGTGTGTGTGTCTGTCTGTGTGTGTCTGTCTGTGTGTGTCTGTCTGTGTGTGTCTGTCTGTGTGTGTCTGTCTGTGTGTGTCTGTCTGTGTGTGTCTCTGTGTGTCTCTGTGTGTGTCTCTGTGTGTGGCTCGGTGTCTGGCGCTGTGTGTGTCTCTGTGTGTGTCTCTGTGTGTGTGTGTGTCTCTGTGTGTGCCTCTGTGTGTGTCTCTGTGTGTGTCGCTGTGTGTGTCTCTGTGTGTGTCTCTGTGGGTGTGTCTGTGTGTGTGTGTGTCTCTGTGTGTGTGTCTCTGTGTGTGTCTCTGTGTGTGTCTCTGTGTGTCTGTCTCTGTGTGTGTCTCTGTGTGTGTCTCTGTGTGTGTCTCTGTGTGTGTCTCTGTGTGTGTGTCTCTGTGTGTGTCTGTGTGTGTGTGTCGCTGTGTGCGTCTCTGTGTGAGTCTCTGTGTGCATGTCTCTGTGTGTGTGTGTCTCTGTGAGGGTGTCTCTGTGTGTGTGTCTCTGTGTGTGTGTCTCTGTGTGTGTCTCTGTGTGTGTGTCTGTGTGTGTGTCTCTGTGTGTGTCTCTGTGTGTGTGTCGCTCTGTGTGTGTCTCTGTGTGTGTCTCTGTGTGTGTGTCTTTGTGTGTGTCTCTGTGTGAGTGTCTGTGTGTGTGTCTGCGTGTGTGTCTCTGTGTGTGTCTGTCTGTGTGTGTATGTCTGTATGTGTCTGTCTGTGTGTGTCTGTGTGTGTCTGTCTGTGTGTGTCTGTCTGTGTGTGTCTGTCTGTGTGTGTATGCCTGTGTGTCTGTCTGTGTGTGTCTGTCTGTGTGTCTGTCTGTGTGTGTCTGTCTGTGTGTGTCTGTCTGTGTGTGTGTCTGTGTGTCTGTCTGTGTGTGTCTGTCTGTGTGTGGCTCTGTGTGTGTCTCTGTGTGTGTGTCTCTGTGTGTCTTTGTGTGTGTCTCTGTGTGAGGCTCTGTGTGTGGCTCTGTGTGTGGGTCTGTGTGTGTGTTTCTGTGTGTGTCTCTGTGTGTGCCTCTGTGTGTGCCTCTGTGTGTGTCGCTGTGTGTGTCGCTGTGCGTATCTGTGTGTGTGTGTCTCTGTGTGTGCCTGTGTGTGTGTGTCTCTGTGTGTGCCTCTGTGTGTGTCTCCGTGTGTCTCTGTGTGTGTCTGTGTGTGTGTCTGTGTGTGTCTCTGTGTGTGTCTCTGTGTGTGTGTGTCTGTATGTGTCTGTGTGTGTCTGTGTATGGTGTGTGGTGTTGTGTGCGGTGTGTGGTGTGTGGTGTGTGGTGTGTGGTGTGTGTTGTGTGGTGTGTGGTGTGTGGTGTGTGGTGTGTGGTGTGTGGTGCGTGTGTTTGCGTGTGTGTGTGTGCGTGTGCGTGTGTGTGTGCGTGGGTGCGTGCGTGCGTGCGTGCGTGTATGGGTGTGTGTGTGTGCCTGTGTGTGTGTCTGTGTGTGTCTGTGTGAGTGTCTGTGTGTGAGTGTCTGTGTGTGTGTGTCTGTGTGTATATGTGTGTGTCTGTGCGTGTGTCTGCGTGGGTGGTTATGTGTGTGTTTGTCTGTGTATGTCTTTGTGTGTCTGTGTGTGTGTCTGTGTGTGTCTGTGTGTGTCTGTGTGTGTCTGTGTGTGTCTCTGTGTGTGTGTCTCTGTGTGTGTGTCTCTGTGTGTGTCTCTGTGTGTGTGTCTGTGTGTGTGTGTCTCTGTGTGTGTCTCGGTGTGTGTGCCTCTGTCTGTGTGTGTCTCTGTGTGTGTCTTTGTGTGTGTCTCTGTGTGTGTATGTGTCTCTGTGGGTGTGTGTCTCTGTGTCTGTGTGTGCCGCTGTGTCTGTATGTGTCTCTGTGTGTGTCTCTGTGTGTGTGTGTGTTTCTGTGTGTGTGGCTGTCTGTGTGTGTCTCTGTGTGTGTGTCTCTGTGTGTGTGTCTCTGTGTGTGTGTGTCTCTGTGTGTGTGTCTCTGTGTGTGTCTCTGTGTGTGTCTCTGTGTGTGTGTCTCTCTGTGTGTGTCGCTGTGTGTGTGTGCCTCTGTGTGTTTCTCTGTGTGTCTCTGTGTGTGTGTGTGTCTCTGAGTGTGTCTCTGTGTGTGGGTGTCGGTGTGTGTGTGTCTGTCTGTGTGTGTCTGTGTGTGTGTCCGTGTGTGTGTGTCTGTGTGTGTGTCTGTCTGTGTGTGTGTCTGTCTGTGTGTGTGTCGGTCTGTGTGTGTCTGTCTGTGTGTGTCTGTCTGTGTGTGTCTGTCTGTGTGTGTCTGTCTGTGTGTGTCTCTGTGTGTGCCTCTGTGTGTGTCTCTGTGTGTGACTCTGTGTGTGTCTCTGTGTGTGTCTCTGTGTGTGGCTCGGTGTGTGGCTCTGCGTGTGTCTGTGTGTGTGTCTCTGAGTGTGTGTGTGTCTCTGTGTGCCTCTGTGTGTGCCTCTGTGTGTGTCTCTGTGTGTGTCGCTGTGTGTCTCTGTGTGTGTGTCTCTGTGGGTGTGTCTCTGTGTGTGTGTGTCTCTGTATCTGTGTGTGTCTCTGTGTCTGTCTCTGTGTGTCTGTCTCTGTGTGTGTCTCTGTGTGTGTGTCTGTGTGTGTCTCTGTGTGTGTCTCTGTGTGTGTGTCTCTGTGTGTGTCTTTGTGTGTGTGTGTCTCTGTGTGTGTCCCTGTGTGTGTCTCTGTGTGCGTGTCTCTGTGTGTTTGTCTCTGTGTGTGTGTCCCTGTGTGTGTGTGTGTCTCTGTGTGTGTGTCTCTGTGTGTGTGTCTGTGTGTGTGTCTCTGTGTGTGTGTATCTGTGTGTGTGTCGCTCTGTGTGTGTCCCTGTGTGTGTGTGTCTCTGTGTGTGTGTGTCTTTGTGTGTGTGTCTCTGTGTGTGTGTCTGTGTGTGTGTCTGCGTGTGTGTCTCTGTGTGTGTCTGTCTGTGTGTGTCTGTCTGTATGTGTCTGTCTGTGTGTGTCTGTGTGTGTCTGTCTGTGTGTGTCTGTCTGTGTGTGTCTGTCTGTGTGTGTCTGTCTGTGTGTGTCTGACTGTGTGTCTGTCTGTGTGGGTCTGTCTGTGTGTGTCTGTCTGTGTGTCTGTCTGTGTGTGTCTGTCTGTGTGTGTCTGTCTGTGTGTGTCTCTGTGTGTGTCTCTGTGTGTGTCTCTGTGTGTCTTTGTGTGTGTCTCTGTGTGTGGCTCTGTGTGTGGCTCTGTGTGTGGGTCTGTGTGTGTTTCTGTGTGTGTCTTTGTGTGTGCCTCTGTGTGTGCCTCTGTGTGTGTCGCTGTGTGTGTCTCTGTGTATATGTGTGTGTCTCTGTGTGTGTGTCTCTGTGTGTGTGTGTGTCTCTGTGTGTGTGTCTCTGTGTGTGCCTGTGTGTGTGTCTCTGTGTGTGCCTCTGTGTGTCTCTGTGTGTGTCTCTGTGTGTGTCTGTGTGTGTGTGTCTGTGTGTGTGTGTCTGTGTGTGTGTGTCTGGGTGTGTGTCTGTGTGTGTGTCTGTGTGTGTCTGTGTGTGGTGTGTGGTGTTGTGTGCGGTGTGTGGTGTGTGGTGTGTGGTGTGTGGTGTGTGTTGTGTGGTGTGTGGTGTGTGGTGTGTGGTGTGTGGTGTGTGGTGTGTGGTGTGTGGTGTGTGTGTGTGCGTGTGTGTGCGTGTGCGTGTGTGTGCGTGTGCGTGGGTGCGTGCGTGCGTGCGTGCGTGTGTGTATGGGTGTGTGTGTGCTTGCGTGTATGTGTAGGTGCGCGCGCGTGTATGTGGTGTGTGGTGTGTGGTGTGTGGTGTGGTGTGTGGTGTGTGGTGTGAGGTATGTGATGTGTGTGTGGTGTGTGGGGTGTGGTGTGTGGTGTGTGTGTGTGGCGTGTGGTGGTGTGTGGTGTGTGGTGTGTGGTGTGTGGTGCGTGTGTGTGGTGTGGTGTGTGGTGTGTGGTGTGTGGTGTGCGGTGTGTGGTGTGCGGTGTGTATGTTGTGTGTTGTGTGTTGTGTGTTGTGCGCTGTGTGGTGTGTGGTGTGTGTTGTGTGGTGTGTGTTGTCTGTTGTGTGGTGTGTGTGGTGTGGCGTGTGGTGTGTGTTGTGTGTTGTGTGGTGTGTGTTGTGTGTTGTGTGTTGTGTGGTGTGTGTTGTGTGTTGTGTGTTGTGTAGTGTGTGTTGTATGTTGTGTGTTGTGTGTTGTGTGCTGTATGCTGTGTGCTGTGTGTTGTGTGTTGTGATGTGTTGTGTGTTGTGTGTGGTGTGTGGTGTGCTCTGTGTTGTGTGTTGTATATTATGTGTTGTGGATTGTGTGTTGTGCGTTGTGTGACCTGTGTCGTGTGTTGTGCGCGTGTGTGCGTGTGTGTGCGTGTGTGCGTGTGTGTGCGTGCGTGCGTGCGTGCGTGCGTGCGTGCGTGCGCGGCGGGCGGGCGGCGGGCGGGCGGGCGGGCGCGCGTGCGCGCGTGCCTGCGTGCGCGCGTGCGTGCGTGCGTGCGTGCGTGCGTGCATGCGTGCGTGCATGCGTGCGTGCGCGCGCGTGCGCGCGCGCGCGCGCGTGCGTGCGTGCGTGCGTGCGAAGGCGTGCGTGGGGGTGCGTGGGGGTGCGTGGGGGTGCGGGTGCGGGTGTGGGTGTGGGTGCGGGTGTGGGTGCGGGTGCGGGTGCGGGTGTGGGTGTGTGTGTGTGCGGTGTGTGCGGTTTGTGCGTGCGTGCGTGCGTGCGTGCGTGCGTGCGTGCGTGCGTGCGTGCGTGCGTGCGTGCGTGCGTGCGTGCGTGTGTGTTGCAATGCGTTGTGTCTCTCGCCTTTTCGCTTGCGATGGTCTCGTGAGGCCTCAGACTGGCTCCAAGATGCACCAAGAGAGCCCCAAGATGGGGCCCATGATGGCCCCGAGACGGCCCCGAGAGAGTCCAAGAGGGCCCCAAGAGGCAGCCGTAGAACTACATGCGAAAACGGAGACGGTTCACTGCAGGGCCGCATGCTGCTCAGGGCAACTCGCGCGGTCTGTTTTGAGATGGGCAGGTTGGGATACGGGACGCGTCACACATGTTCTTGGCTTTCCCCCAGCCATGGCCTTGGTATGTTTATCTAAGACGTTTCGTTGCAGTTATACCCCATTCATGGTGAGTTCTCGGCTGTCGAGCGCACGTAGCATAACACAAGGTTGCCTCGCCAAACAGGGAGAAGGAGGCCAGTGGCCCGGCCGCCATCAAGCGCGACAGCATCAGAGGCCCCTGCGCGAGCTGCCCTACACGCGCGAAGCAATCGAACGGCCAAGCAGGTGGTCGGCGGATTTGGCGTACGCCCGCACGTATGAGGAGAAAAAAAGAGAGGAGGAAGAGGAGGAGAAAGAGAAGAAAGATGAGGAGTGGTTACCCGCTAAGAAAACAAAAAACGCGGCATGCGACAATGTAGCAATAGAGCGACCCCGCCCACTCCAGGAAGGATAGGGGCCGACATCCTAGATAAAAAAGACATGCCCACGCACGCTTGGAGATCTGCGCGGATCTCCTGGATCGGCGCTGGACCCCGCGCTGGGCTACTGCGACTGCGACCTGCGTGGAGGGCGGCGAGGGCGCTGCAGGGTTCGAGGATCCTCGGCGCGTGTGCCAGCGCCAACGTGAGCTTGCCCACCGGAGTCCTTCAACCCGGGAGCCAACACAGGTTGCGACGCTATTATGAGGGATGAGGGTGGGATAGGCAAGGGGGGGATGCATCGACCTGGAATCGGCGATACACTGTCGATAGATCGGCGACAGGCCTCCGATGGTGAATCCGCACCTTCCTGCGCAGATTGAGGCTTTCGGGTCCCCATCGGCGATCAATGGGCGATTGGGGGTCGATGCATCACCCCCTATGCCTATCCCCCGCTATCGTTGCCCCTGATATTATCGGCGGAGCGAAAGTGGGTAAACACATACGTCAGGTTCGTGTCGTGCCGACTTCGGCGTTGGTTTCTGGCACCGCGGGGATCGTTCAACCTCGAAAGATCGGCCGCTTCCGAAGCGTCCAAATCGTTACACATCGAACGATTCTGGGTCGCCAGTCGCGTTCAAAATTGAACGCCGCTGGCGGGGTCGCCGCCGGTCGACACGACACGAACCTACCGTACACACACACACTCACACGCACGCTTTGGCTCACACACGTCCTGAGCATCATCGAAGGGTGGGTCCGACACGCCCAGAAGACGGCTCTACGGCATGACCCAGACTCGCTTGGGCATTCTGAGTTTGGCAGAACCGCCCTCGAACTAGGCCCAGGGCAAAAGCCCATACTAGTTACTAGGCACGCATCCCGAGCAGCCTGTCGTAGATCTCTCCCAGGTGATCGTCCATCCTGGGGAAATAAAAACAAGTACCAATGCCGCTCCTCACAGGACCTCTGCTGGGGTGCGTTCTAAAGCGCGCCTCGAGGCGAAGCCAGCGGTGCCGACGAGGGACTCCAAGGAGTCACAAGACTAGGGGAACACAAAATGACATAGACAACTTGGAGGACCGCGCAGATTCCTCGGATCGGCGCTGGACCCCCTCCCTGGCGCGCGGAGCGCGTCAGGGGCGGTGCCGGAGGCGCCGCCAGGGGGGACCCAGCGCTAATCCAAGAAGTCCGCGCGGAGCTCAGAATGACATCTTTTAGTGTCATTCTGTTTTACCCGAAATAAAGCCGGGACGGAGCAAGGGTTTCGCGATCGGTAGATCTGCATCCTCTGCCGTCCTTACGCAAGCGCGTTCCACTACTCGCAAGGTAACTGCTCGCAAATGGCCTGGATCCGCCGCGGGGCGTTTACGATCCATTGCCTCGAGGTGAACATGCGCGTCAGTGGGGCGTGTGCGAGCAGGCACTCTGCGAGGAGCGGGGCGCGCTCGGTGAGTCCTGGCCCGCCCGCTAGCCACCCCGAGCCGCGCGCCGCAGCCGAGCTCCGCCTCCAGGTCGCCCCGCTCGCGTGCGTGCCGCATGACCTGCCGGAAGTAGCCGGCGCTCTGCTCGTCCTCTCCACGCTGGCTGGCCAGCTCCCCCAGCTGCTGGAGCGCGGCCTCCTGGTAGCGGGGCTGCTTCAGCGCGCTGCAGAGCTCCATGCGCAGAGGGAGAAAGCACGGCACAGGCAGAAACGTGCGGGCCTCCGCGCGGCTTCCTCTTGGAGCCCCACAAAAGTTTATGCTTGTGCTGTGGTTTCTTCTTCCGATGTACCTCTCGATCAGGGCGCTGGTCTTGTCGGGGTCGTGGCCGTACATGCCCTCGCTGAATCCCAGGCTTCCGACGGCAAGGCTTTGGCCCTCGAGGCTGTGGAGCTCAAGGGCGTAGCGCAGGGCGTACTGGTAGCTCACGGTGGAGGCCTCCCTTTCCCCGAGCAGAGCGTTGGCGAGGCCAATGTTGAGATGGGCCACGAACTTGCCGACGCTGTCGGCATCTTCTCGGTGCCTGTTGTGGAAGGAGATCGCCCTCCGCAACATCTCGGCCCTCGCCTCTGAGGGAGCGAGAAGACACCAATCCCTACCCCCAAGGCCTCTCCCAGGGTGCGTTGTGACCAGAATTTGGAGGCGAAGCCAACGGTGGCGACGAGGGTCTCCCAGGGGGCCCCGAACGGCGGAAGCGAGGCAAGGGTAGTGGCGTCGGTGCCCGTTCCTCCTCTGAGCCTCCCAGCTCCCGCTGCCGCGGGGAAGGCCGCTGCCGTCCCCCGCGGCGCGCTCCGCCAGCAGCTGCCAATCGACGCCGATGCAGTGGTAGGCGAGCCCGCAACCCTGGGAGTCCCCACACGCCGCGCACACTCGCAAGAACTTGGAGACAGCGGGAAGGTCTGAGCTTTACGTGTTCGACCATGTGCCCCTTGTTACACATCGCTCCTGGGCCGTCTTCGGCGCTCGTCGGACGGTGTTCGGCTATCTTCGGCGGTCGTCTGACGGCCTTCGGCGGGTTCCTACGGTCTTTGACGGTTTCCAGCGATCTTCGGCGCAAAAGCTAGATCGTTGCGTTCAACAAGGGGTCCATGATCGAACGTCTAATGAACTGGGCTGGAACCTCATAAAATCGGTCAGGAGGGGGATGAAGCCAAATCTGCTCAATCTGCCACCGGACCCGCCCTGGGGTCCATGTGGTGCAATGTTTCACCTGGATCCGTTTCTTGACGGTCCCTGTGTCAGAAAACGGCCCCATGAGGCCGACAAAGGCATCAAACCTGCACCTTGAACCTGCCCCCCCCCTTCCTGCTGGCTGGATCCAGTGCTGGGCCACCTCGAACCCCCAGCCGGCTCCAAGGAGGAACTGGTTGTACGACTCGATAGCCTTCTGGTAGTGCCCAAGGTTGTCCCGCATCACCCCAAGCGAGAAGTGAGCGCGGCCCTCTTCTTTTCCCTTCGAGGACCGCCTGTAGTGGCCTCCCAGATTGGGTACGGGTGGACGGGGTCGGAGAGGATCGATTCGCGCCGCATCGATGCATCGGGGCCTCGGCGATACAGCAGCGCCGTTGGCGGGGAGAAAATCGGGCTCACATCGAGATCACCGATGCATCGGCGATGCGGCGCCAATCCTCCGAACCCATCCAGTCTGGCCCGGTTTGGGAGGCCAGATGCCTGCAGGCCTGGGCAAGGAGCTCCAGGTCCTGGATCCTCTTGAGCGCCACCATCTGCTCCTGGTCTGACAGGGGCTCCCCGCCGGGCCTGCGCGCCGGGGTGTTCAGGTAGCTCGGCAGCTCTATGCGCTGCGGCCGCAGCGGCTCCGCACCCCGATTGGACGTCCGGCTGCCAGAAGCGCCGCCGCTGGCCGCACCGCTGCAAACGCCGAATGCGGACTCGCCGACATCGCCGGCAAGGTCCTCAGCCGAGGGCACCGACGACCAATGCACGCTGCCGGACTGGGCCATCTGCATGGATAGAGGAGGAAACAACTGCACAATCAACATCTTTTGGCTTCAGTGCGGATTTCTTGGATCGGCGCTGACCCCCCTCCCTGGCGCGCGGAGCGCGCCAGGGACGGCGCCGGAGGCGCCGCCAGGGGGGGCCCAGCGCCGATCAAAGGAATCCGCGCGGGCTTCCGAACGTTGTATCATTATGCAGCGTCTTCCTCCTCGCATGGGGCTCCTCTTGGCGGCGAGCGAAGGGGGGAAATGAGAAGGAGAAGGCCTCCGTAGAAGGCGGCGGGACTTCTCAGAAGCGCTCCGGCCTCCTGGGAGGTTCTTTCCGTGCCTGCCGGGAAGGCCAGTAGAACACTCCTCCAGAGGCCCGGGGACTTCCGAGCCTCCTGCGAGGGCCCGCCCCTCCTCGTTTCCCCCCCCTCGCTCGCCGCCGATCCTCATCCGGCCGGCGGCCAGCGCGCGGTGCAGGCCCATGCGGGCGGGGCGGTGGGACCCAGCGCAGGCGGAGGGCAGCGGGGCCCCCTCCGCGAGGCTCGTCTGGGGCTCCCCCGGCCTCCGATGGCGCGGTCACTGTCGCACTCCGTGGGCTCCCGTCGCTATTCTTGTCCGTTCTTCAACCTCTCAGTCGTTTTTTGTTTTTGTTTGGTTCGCAAGGGTGCCCCTAGAAAGTCGAGCCCGATCGGAGAGGACACGGGGCCCTTCCGAGGGCCACGTGGCCACAGGAATCGTTTTCATAGCCATTGTTTTGCCGATCGACGCGGGCCCTCGCACACCCAATCCCCTGGAGTAGGTATTTGCTTGTTTTGGGCGCCTGTTCCAAGCAGGTGGAGTCTCCCCCATCTAGGATGCACTGTTGCAAACAATCGCACTCAGCAGAGGTCCGGAGGCAGCCCCCCCCCTCCCACCCCCCCTTCCGCCCAGTGTCGAAACGCCGAATAAGAACACGTTCACTGGGCCGCGAAACAGAGGACACACGGGTGCGCTTTGACTTGGAGGGGTCGTCGTCCTCCTCCTCCTTCTCATCTTCCTCCTCCTCCTCCTCCTCCTCCTCCTCCTCCTTCCCCTCCTCCTCTTCCTCCTGCAATCCCTTTCCTTATGAATTAACTTCTCCTGTCGCACCCCGAGCCCAATTTTTAAGGCGGGCCCGGCGTTTCGCCTGAGACTTCCTCACCGCTTACGACCCTGAACTTAACAATTGGCAACTGTTTTACATATGGAGGGCGGGTGGTGTCTTAAATGTGGCTCTCGCCTTGGCACCGCGCACATGTTTTGTAAGCATGTGCAAGAGTTTTCAGATTGAGGGCGACTGATTTTCAAAATATGGTTTCCGCCTAAGCGCCGTGCACATTCTGTTGTATTGTCAATGCCAGAATGTTACGGATTGAGGGCGACTAGTTTTCAAAAGTGGCTCTCGCTTTAACACCGTGCACATCCGTTCTAAAACTTACAAGAACGACGGGTGGAGGGTGGTTCCTTTTTCACAATGTGGCTTTCGCTTTAACGCCGCGCACATTCGTGCTTTGTATGTTTCCTAGAGCTTCACAGATGGAGGGCGACCGGTTTCCAAAATGTGGCTCTCGCCTTAGCGCCGCGCACATTCGTTTTACAAATTTGCAAACCCTTCACGGATTGAGGGCGACTGGTTTTCAAACTGTGGCTCTCGCCTTGGCGCCGCGTACATTCGTTCTACACATTAGCAGGAGCTTCACGGATTGAGGGCGGCTCCTTTTTTCAAAAACGGCTTTCGCTTTAGCGCCGCGCACATTCGTTTTTTTATCCTATTATGTTACGAGTTTCACATAGTCTCATGGTCAGGGTACCAAAAAAAAGTTTCGACTTACTCAGGACTATGCGGGTGCATATTTACATGGATTTGTGGCGTTGCGGCCCCAAGAATGGTGTTCTGGCACGATTCAGGCTCGCCAAGACGTCAGGTTGATCCGTGGCGTTGGAATCCCGAGAACAATGCTTTGGCGTGCTTCAGAATATTCAAACAGCTGTCTTCTGACGAGGCAGGTCCCTCAGCGGAGATGAACCGCTGTAGGAGCCTTATGAAGAGGGAGCTTGGAGGGAGGGTTCATCCCAACACCGTTGATGACTCTTGGGTTTACACTGGTCCTCCTCCTCTTCCTCCTTCTCTTTCTCCTCCTCCTCTAATCCAACTCGGCTACATGCACGAGTGACTCTGGGTGCGCGGCGTGCCGACACAGCTCTGCCCACGCGGGTCATCCTGGACTCCTCCTCCTCCTCCTCCTCGTCCTCGTCCTCCTCCTCCTCCTCCTCCTCATCGTCGTCCTCCTCCTCATCGTCCTCCTCCTTCCTCCTCCTCATCCTCCTCCTCCTCCTCCTCCCCCTCCTCGTCCTCCTCCTCCTCCTCGTCCTTCTCCTCCTCGTCCTCCTCATCCTCGTCCTCTTCCTCCTCTTCCTCCTCCTTCGTTTTTGGGGACCTTCCTGGAGCCACTCGCTCCACTCCTGCATCGATGCTGCGCCGAGCGTCCATCGTCTTGAGCCGAGCTGGAGCCAGACGTGAGTCGAACAGATCCGAGACTGGCGGAAGAGACAACTGCATGTGACCAGAACCTTTGGGAGGTCCGCGCGGACCTGTTGGATCTGCGGTGAACCCACCTCCCTGGCGCGCGGAGCGCGCTGGGGACGGCGCCCGAGTCGCCGCCAGGGGGTCCAAGGCGCCGATCCAAGAAATCCGCGTGGAACGCCGACAAATTATGTCTATGCAGCTGTTTCTTTCTCTGATTACGTAATTAGGTGGGCCCAGAGAGCAAGTCCCCCAAACGAACACACGTGCAATCCACGGGCTGGCGGACTCGGAAGCGAGCACGCCAGCTGAAAACCAGGCCACGGCGTCGGAGGCCTGGGCGTCTGAGCTGGCTGGAGGGCGCGCCGCATGAGGCCGAAGTGGACGGGGCGGGGGGGTCGCGCCGCGTCGCCAGAGCATATCGGCGACGTCGGGACGCAGCTCCGCGCGGATTTCTAGGATCGGCGCTGGGCCACCCTGGCGGCGCCTCCGGCGCCGCCCCTGGCGCGCTCCGCCTCCTCCTCCTCCTCCTCCTCCTCCTCCTCCTCCTCCTCCTCCTCCTCCTCCTCCTCCTCCCCCTCCCGATCCTCCTCCTCCTCCTCCTCCTCCTCCTCCTCCTCCTCCTCCTCCGCCCCTGGCGCGCTCCGCGCGCCAGGGAGGGGGGCCCAGCACCGATCCAAGAAATCGGCGCGGACCTGGGAGCAATCATGTTTTCTGCAGCCTCTGTGTACTCCCAGAGTCGGGACGGAGAAGAGACTAGTCTTCGGTCGGGCGTGTCCCCCTACAGGCGGATCTTGGGCGAAAAATTAAAGATACTCCAAACATGCCCCCAAAATACCCAAAAGTGGGGGTGGAAAAACAAAAACGTCCCGTGACTATTTTATTTACTATTTTTGAACATTTTTCCTGTAAAAGGACTGGCCCGACTTCACAGTAGTCGGGCGCACGCTGACGTGGATTACGGATCCGTGGATCTGGCACGTGGGCGCCGCGCCCTAAGAGAGTCCAAGAGGAGGTTTTAGGAGCTGCAGAGTGGGGGACCCTCATTGAGTGCCCCCCCTATTTGATCGATCTCCTCAAAGATTGCCCCAAGAGGGCCTCCGAGGCGCCCGAGAGATCCACAGAGCGGGGAAGGCGCTCTTGATCCCAAGGCATGCAGCCAGTGCCGCCCGATCTGGCGGCAGGTCGCGCGGATCCTGTGCGAAAGGGAATAGCAAGGCCGCGTTTCACCGCGTTCGAAAAATCCTCTTGAAACTGAATATGGTCAACAAAACGGCGTAGGGAAACGCCGAAAAGCGGCTCCGGGATGGGAACCGGAACCGGCACCGGAGAAAAAAGAAAAGGCGACGGACAAGCAGAGAACGGCGAGCGGAGCCGGCAAGACCGCGGGGAAGCGGAACCGGTACTCTGGATCGCTTAATACTCGCCCCCCCCCTGGGAGTGCCCGGGGGGGTTGGCCGCGGCGCGTCCGCGGGGGTGCCAGGGGGGGTCTGGGTTTCGTTCCCTTCCCCGCTGGGGCGCGGGGATGGTGCCGAGGGGGGGGGGGGGGGGGCGCGCAGCGTTTTCGCGTTTGTCCCCCCCGGGCCCAGTCGAGTGAGGCGAAGTTCGGAGCAACAAAGCTGGCCCTGTCGCTTCCTGTCGGAGGCCTGGAAATTGGCACCAACACCAAGACAGGGGGTTGCCTCCACAGGGGGAAGGTGATCCTAGATTTTCGGTGCTGGTGGCAATAGTTCGGCCACCTTGGAAGCCAGAATATTACCACCCTCGCCGAGATCGGGATCCTCTTCCCTCGGTGGAGGCAAATCGCCGAAATTGGAGTTGGTGTCAATCTCTAGGCCTGCGATCCTGGGCCCAGGCTGCTCCACGCGCCCTCGTTCCATGGCCTGCACCTCCCGCGAGGTCGGGCGCCAGAGGGCGAGCCGCTCCGCCGCTCGGTCGGCGGCGCGGCGCGGCTCCGTCGCCGGCCCTGCCGCACGCGAGGGAGACAGCTGCGCTGTCAGGAGAGGCATAGCGTCCAGGCGGAGTGCTCGCCGTCGCTCGGGCGTCCGAGTATCGCTCATCCGATCCCCATCCCCCGCGGCGCGGCGTGGGCCCCACGGGCCGATTGAACTACCCCCCTGGATGGGGATATAGGCCGTTCCCTTCGGTGTTCGAGGGTTGCATCCCCAACTGGGGTGGTGATTTGGTGGGGGTCTCGAAGGGGATGGGGACGGGGATTGGTGAAACGATGCCGAACGTTCATCCCGCGCGCGCTGTTCGATTCCGTGCGTTTGTTTTTTTCGCAAGACGACCCGAGGACCTCCTCGGTGGTCCTGGCCGAGGAAAAACAAAGCAGGCACACGTCCGAGCGATGCCAGGAGCAAGCCCAGACTGATGGGCCCATGCTCCACCACCACTACCACAGGCAGGAGAGGGAGGATGAAGAGGAGGAGGAGGTGGAGGAGGAGGACCTCCTCATCCTCCCTTCTTCCCCGTC